CCCAGAGCTCCGAGGGTCAGGCTGACGGCCACAGCACGCCCCAGAGCGGTCCGACGTGAGCGCCATGCTGACGCTCAGCGGCGAGGTCGGGGGGGAGAAGAACGAGCGACAGCAGCGCCGCCGCACCGAGGACCAGCAGAAGGTGGCCAAGACCGCCGCCGGCTACAACGCCGCCAACAAGACGCTCATGGTGCTCATCATGAAGATGATCATGCAGCTGGCGCAGACGCGCCGCACGGTGGAGGGGATCCTATTCGACGTCGTGCTGGTGCCTCACGACATGCCAGAGGCAACTCGCATGGCAGAGCAAGGAGCCAAGTACAACGAGCAGGTCCAGGCCAAGGGCAAGGGCCACAGCCCCGGCGCGCCTCATCTGCACGTGTTCGGGGGCCTGCTGGAGGCGCTGATAAATCGGCAGGAGAGCATCGGCAAGGCGAACCTGGCGAAGCTGCAGGAGATGAAGGGACGCTTGAGCACGATGGACTACGCCGACCGCATGGACGTCATCAAGTTCACCAAGCTCGACAGGTGCTACGACCAGACGAAGAGGCGCATCACTTTGTGCCTGGGAGACGGCCGCAAGGAGGTGATCGGAGCGCTGGCCCAGCTGGGGGGGAGCTCAAGTCGGGGAGGGCGCCAGCGACGCACATGGAGCGCGAGATGCAGGAGTGGCTAGAGACGTTCCTGGCCTAGATACGAGTGCTACTCAGAGTTCAGAGTTGCTCACGGAGACCGAGAGAATGACACGTTCCCGTCTTGAATCAGTGGTGGATTCAAGCAATGCAGTCTCGACGGCTACTCCGAGAGCAACGCATATCGATTCACATCTTTCAGTTTCTTCAGATATTGATTCACTGCTTGCAGTGTCGTCAGAGACACGTGAGCCAAGCAGGGAGGCCCAGGCCGCAGCATACAAACCTCTGAGTAGGTGGAAAGAGAGAATGACGGCATCGTCATCATCTCGTTCTATCCCACCTCCATCGCCATCCTGTTCCTCCAGATCCCCGTGGACCCTGAGGCCCTTGAGGAGTATTTCGCCGACCCCGAGGATTGCGCCCAGGAGTCCTCAGAGGTTATCTTCTGCATCCCAGAGGCCCTTGAGGAGTATTTCGCCGACGGCGCCGATTGCCCCCAGGAGTCCACAGATGATATCTTCAGGTTCGCAGAGGCCCTTGAGGAGTATTTCTACGCCCCCAACGATTGCCCCCAGGAGTTCCAGTAGTTTTTTAGGCCCGATGGAAGTAGGAGAGGAGGTGAGAAAGGCGGCGGATAGGTACATTCAGAGGCATGGGGGGGAGGCTGAAATCGGTCTTACCCTTCCCCAGAAATTAGCTGTGGAAAGATTTCTGTCGGCCCAGGGAATCCCCAGGGACTCGGCGCGTTGGGAGGCCCTGTTTAGGAGCAGGCATGTTCAGGCTATGGTTCAGCGAATAGGGTGAGGTGTTTTTGTCGCCGTGGGTCTGGACACGGGTAACTCGTACCCGCGTTTAGAGCCTCGGGCAGTGGGCCAGTTTTACGGTCTAGCCTTGGGGCTAGTGTCCCAGGCGTTTTGGATCCGTCTTTAAGGATAGTCTCTGGGCCTTTGAATCTCCCCCGTAGGTGGACGAACCTGGCCCCAACGGAGTGTTTCTTCTTCTTCTTCCCCTCCTCCTCGGGTCGCCCACGGCCCGGGGGGAAACCGTGCACCTCCGCCCTCCTGCGCCCCACCCCCCTCGTCCTCCCCTGAGATCCGACATAGCGAAAAACTTGCAACATCGCAAAAGATCACGCCTGGGGCTCCAGACCCCATCTTCCTGTGTCCTCTTTTTCGAGCCGGGTGGATCTGTCAGGGTCCCGAGCATGGGGGAAGACGCCCGCTGCGAAAACATTGTCACGCCAGGATCTCAGGGTCTCCCGTCCCCACCCCCCCATCCCCAGGCGTGTTTCGCCGATCGGTGCGCTGGTTGCTGGCCACCGCGTCGAGCATTCACAGGCGGTGGCGTAAGCGGTCCATGAGCGATGTGGCATGGGCGGGGGCGCCGCCCGCCGACCATCTTTGGCCTGAGGGCGTTCATTCCCGCGGACGATGTCCAGTCGGCGCCCACCACACGCCCCCGCCCATCCCAAGATTCCGACGGGTCCGCCGATCACCTCTCAGGGCCGCTCGCGAGGAAGGCGGTAGGCACCGCCGATATCACTGATGTCACAAATTCTGTTTGGGGCTCGTGTCTCGAGCGGCTTGCATGGCAAGCCATGGTCGCTGGGACTACTACGCAACACACGCCAAGACAAAATGTTGCCAGTTGGGAGCGGTTCATACTTACTTTGCGACGTACCCAACGCATCGGCATCAAGGGATGATATGAGGCGTGCCGACACTAGTGTAGCTGCAACACTGCAACAGACTGCAGGGCGGACATTTATGTCGCGCGAAGTGTGCGTCGACGATTCGCAGAACAGAGGTAGAGGTATTCCACTGGAAAGCAGACGCAAAAGGAAGTCATCGGGGTGGAAGGTTAATCACCTCTGCAGAAGTAGCGATATCATCGAGCGTGGGCAGGAAAGGCTACAAAGGCGGAGACGCAACCAGACAATGAAGTGTCGTACTTTCCATGCCGAAGTGCTCATCACCTGCGCGGCCAGCGCTCCTCGTTGCTGTTGCTGCACCGCCTCGGAAGATTAAGAGTTCCCGCTGCTAGTGTAAGAAGCGGTCACGGCGTAGCTCGCCCGATGCCACTCCGCTTCCTCCCCGCTTTTTTCGTGCGAGCACCACTCGTGCGCACGCTCGCCGCCAGCTTTCGAGCGTGGCGACAGTTTCACACTTCGCAGCCCTCCCCCCCAGGGATGGCGAGGTCCTTTTGGGATATGCGTTGGACCCCACTGTGTTGGCTCCCCCAGCAGCCTTCGAAAGTGGCGACAGTTTCACACTTTGCAGCCCCCCCCAGGGATGGCGATACCCCGTTTGGATCTGCGTGGGGCCCCACTGAGCTGGCTCCTCCAGCAGCCCTCGAAAGTGGCGACGGCATCACACTTCACACCCCCCCCCCCCCGCGATGGCGAGGTCCCGTTTGGGTCTGCGTGGGACCCCATTGTTCTGTCCCCCGAGCAGTCCACGAACGCGGCGACAGTTTCACACGCCGCACCCCCCCCCCCCCCCCCCAGGGATGACGAGGTGTTGTTTGGTTTTGCGTGGGGCCCCGCTCTCTTGCCCCCCCCAGCAATCCTCGTAAGTGGCGACCGTGTCATTCGTCGCAGCCTCCCCCCTAGGGATGGCGAGGTTTTGTTTGGATCTGCGTGGGACCCCATTGGGTTGTTCCCCCAGCAGCCCTCGAAAGTGGCGAACGTTTCACATTTCGCAGCCCCCCTTCAGGGATGGCGAGGTCCCGTTTGGGTCGGCGTGATACCTCGTTGTGTTGCCCCGCCAGCAGCCCTCGAACATGGCGACAGTTTCACACGTCTCACCCCCCCCCCCAAGGATGGCGAGGAGCCGTTTGGGTTTGCGTGGGACCCCATTGTGCTGCCCCCCCCAGCACCTTTCGAAAAGGGCGGCAGGTTCACACTCCGCAGCCTCCCCATAGATGGCGAAGTCCCGTTTGGACGTGCGTGGGGCTTCATTGCGTTGCTCCGCCCAGCAGTGCTCGAACGTGGAGATAGTTTCACACTTATCGCCCGCCAAGGGAGCCCCACTGTGTAGGCCCCCCCAGACGCCTTAAAACGTGACGGCAGCTTCACACGTCGCAGCTTCCCCTTGGGATGGCCAGGCTCCTTTTGGATCTGCGTTGGACCCCACTGTGTTGGCTCCCCCAGCAGCCTTCGAGAGTGGCGACAGTTTCACACTCCGCAGCCCCCCCAGGGATGGCGATACCCCGTTTGGATCTGCGTGGGGCCCCATTGAGCTGGCTCCCCCAGCAGCCCTCGAAAGTGGCGACGGCTTCACACTTCACAGCCTCCCCCCCCGGGATGGCGAGGTCCCGTTTGGGTCTGCGTGGGACCCCATTGTGTTGTCCCCCGAGCAGTCCACGAAAGCGGCGACAGTTTCACGCTCCGCACCCCCCCCGGGATGACGAGCTGTTGCTTGGTTTTGCGTGGGGCCCCGCTCTCTTGCCCCCCCTAGCAGTCCTCATAAGTGGCGACCGTGTCATTCGTCGCAGCCCCCCTTTAGGGATGGCGAGGGTTCGTTTGGATCCGCGTGGGACCCCATTGCGTTGGCTGCCCCAGCAGCCCTCGAAAGTGGCGACAGTTTCACACGTCACAGCCCCCCCCCAGGGATGGCGAGGTCCCGTTTGGGTCGGCGTGGGACGTGTTGTCCCCCGAGCAGCCCTCGAAAATGGCGACAGTTTCACATTCCGCAGCCCCACAGGGATGGCGAGACCCCGCTTGGATTTGCGTGGGATCTCATTGTGCTGGCTCCCACAGCAAGCCTTGACAGTGGCGCAACAGTTTCACACTTCGCGGCCCCCAAGAGCGAGGCGAGAGGAGAGAGCCGAGAGGAGAGCGGGGGTGAGGAGGATGAGGAGGAGGAGGACGACGACGACGAGGACGAGGATGACCATCTCTGCCCTAAGATGAATGAGTAATGAATGAGGAGGAGGACGAGGACGAGGAGAAGAAAACGAGAGTTCGCGACCCCACTGCTCTATTCGAAACGAGGGCCCAACCAAGGGAGTGTTGGCAACAGCCTTCCCAAGCATTTGGGACCTTTCTGCGCCAGAGCAAGATAGCCGAACCCCGTAGCACCCACAGCGCCCCCGGCACCGCCCATGGCGCGCTCCGCGCGGCCAGCGCGCGCCAGGGAGAGGCGTCCAGCGCAGATCCAAGAAATCCGCGCGGACCGTCGGCTACTTTATGTGTATGCAGTTGTTTCTTCCTTGGCCCTCTTCCTGCTCTCCCCTCTCCATCCCCCCCCCAAGCATTCCACACCCGTCTGCGTGTCTGCGCCAGAGAAAGATGTCTGATCCCCTGGCACCTTGCGGCGTTCCTGGGCGCAGCGCGGCGAACCCCCCCCCTCTCCCCCGTGTCAGCGGGACACGCTGCGGCTGGTGCAGACGTTCTTCGGCCAGGCGCGCTGCGGGTGGGGCACGAGTTGAGGGACCTGGCGGCGAGCCTAGGGGGAAGGTGGAAGGGGCGGCCCTTCTCACGAGGCTTGGAGGACCATGGGTATTTTTTTGCATCGAGGATTCAAAACGCATAACCATACCATTTTCGACGGTTTGCGCAGATATCTTGGATTGGCGCTGGGCCCCCCTGGCGGCGCCTCTGGCGCCGACCTTGTCGCGCTCCGCGCGCCAGGGAGGGGGGCCCAGCACCGATCCAAGAAATCAACGCGGACCTCAGAGAAGTTGCGTTTTTGTCGTTGTTTGCCCCTCCAGAGAGATGCTCGAAGCCTTCTGCGAAGACGGAGACTGCTTCTCAGAAGGCCCCAGAGGGATTCTGAGAGACCCCGCCGCCTTCCGCTTGCCCCCTCTCAGTTTCCCCCCAGGCGCGCCGCCCAGGGATGGATGGGGTCGCACCAGGCGTCGGCGTCGTCGGCGTCGGCGCGTCGGCGTCGGCGTCGTCGTCGGCGTCGGCGTCGGCGTCGGTGTCGTCGGCGTCGGCGTCGGCGTTGAGGGGAAGCTGAGGTGAGGGGATGAGTTGTGTCCAGCAAGGCAGGGGCAGCATACAAGCATTCGTCCTGTGTCGTGCGTGCCCCCCCGTGCAAAACGCAGTGCAACTGTGCTTCTGTATCGCTTCTGTGGCACCCTCCGCACCCCCGAAAAGCATCCGCAGTCGACGGTGAACTGAGGGAGGCGGGGTAGACAGATGACGCGCGTGACAATTTCAGGCTTACAGCCGAGGCTGATTAGTAGGTCGTATCCTGTGCTTCGCGACACATGCATTCTAGATTCTACATTCCTGTGGCAATGTTGCCCCCTCGGCGGCGGGTGAGGGGGGGAAGTGAGAGGGAGAGTGCCTCCTCAGACGGCGGCGGGGTTTCTCAGAGGCCCTCGCGCCCTCGTAGAAGGTTCCTGTGCAAGGAAGGCTGGGGCAACTTCTCAGAAGCTGGGGGAGACTTCCGAGCCTTCTGAGGAGGCCCGCCCCTTCTCACTTCCCCCCCGGGCGCGCCGCCGACCCTCTCGCAAGGGCCTTGTGTCCTCTCGCGTGCCCTCTCCAATCAACCTCGACTGCAGTACAGTCAACCATGATAATAAGGATGGGGAAACTTTCCAAGGCTACCCTTGCATCGTTGCCCCTTCGGTATTCGGCATCCTTCGGCATTCTGCTGCGCTCCGCACGGAAAACGTCAACATGGCGTTACAAGGCCCTTGCATCCTTACCGCGCATCCTTACTATCTTGGTCGAGGTTATCGGAGAGCCGTTCCCTCTGCCGCTTTGCCCCTCAGGCTGAGCTGTCCTGCGGCTCTTTTGAAGACATCGGGACAGACAGGGACCGCCAAACTCAGGGGCGTGGCCGGTTAACGTCACACCAATGCTTTGGGAAATTGCGAGTGTTTACAATGCTACTTGGCAATACGTCGTTGTTTTCAATGGGCGTGTAACGGGACGCCTTAGATACCGAATTTGCCGTGATGGTACGCTTTCGACGACGGAAGAGGCACGATTTAATGATATAGCCCGAATTGTGAAATTAAAAACTACCCTGAATCCAACACTTTAGGTGGTTTGGATATAGTTTTCCCCAAGAATGGACCGCCTACGAGGTTGCGTTCGCGCCTGACGCAATCAGAGGGTGGACGTTGAACGATGAGGAGATACGGCCCGCTGCCAACCGCTGTCGGTTAAATGCGGAAGAGCTCCGACCCATTCGGACGAAGCCGTGGACCGACGACGGGAGATGCATCTGCAAGAATTACCATTCGGTGCGGGCCGGGCTTGGTTATTGTCTTTTTTCTCGGACGAGGGTTCAACACCAATACAAGGTTCAGAACAAATATTTTGCAGGATCAGGCAAACAAACTTTTAGATTATGCATGGGCAAGCTTGGGGCTGACCATCTATGTTATCAATGCTCCGAGAAAGGAAACCGAACCGCTTGTGATTGCTGAAAGACTAAAGAACATGAAAATGAGCTCCGCTGACGCGTTGGATAATTTGAAATCTGGTTAAACCGAGCAACATCAGCGCAAATAGGTTGCTCACAAAGGGGAGGGCTCGTTTCAAATTCGCAAAGGGAGGTCAGACTTTTTCCCATCAACAGCCAGGAACCGTTCCAGCTTGGGTCCCTGATAGCGTTGCAGCTCAGCCGCCAGCGTGTCACGAACCCTTCTTCCAGTTCCTCGAGCCGTTGAAGCCTCGCTTCATGAATTGGCTTGTACACGAGGCAAAATCGGAGAACGAAACCCCTCCAACTGCAGCAACATGATGGCCATTAGTATGGTCCTCTGACGTTGATCAGTATGCTCGTCCATTTCGATGTCCCGCGCTCGCCGTTTTCGATTGGACCCATGCAGATGTTAAGCAACTGGGGCCGCCAAGAGGATGGGACCATTGGGTGAGGCGTCGGCGAGAAATTGGCGCAGACACTCCAACGGTAGAGACGCTCACCGAACGGCTGAGACGCGTCGATGCGCCCATCCCGACTTCTGTTGGAGATATTGAGTATCAAGCGATTGTATCGCTTTGTACCCAGCCCAGCTGGCAGGTGGGCGTCATATTGGCTCGTGGCCACCTTGCAGAAACATCGAGAGGCGTTCTGCCCGAGGGCATTGTGCCAGCGCGTTTCAGGCTGGAGGCCCCTGGAGCGTCACTGCCCCTTTGGCTTGATCTAGTCCCCCTTGCGGGGCGTTTGTCTGAAGCGATGCGGGATCCGTCATACAGCCCAGTGAAGAATGCGAATGCGGATTTACAGTTTGAGCGGGGCGACGGAAAGGCGCGCGTCGTTGCCAACCGACGTGACGCTACCAACGTCGCCGTTCAATCTATCTTGGAGTGCTTGCCCACACCAGGCGCTGCAGTGCGACTGGAGAAGGATGTGGTTCACGATGTGCCGCCAGGAGTGACTGATCTCGTTGAAAAAGTATGGGATGAACCCAATGATCGAGTCTCCACGCACCGGCGATGGGGGCGAATCCTTCTGGCTATTCGTGAAGTGGTACTCTTGTTCATGGCAGAAGGACTTCACGCTGCTTTTCCGAGTCGCGAAGTACAGCGAAATACGACCGCTGAAGGCAGCGCCCCGTCCCAGGTTGACCGACGCCTTTGCGCTGGACTGCCGCATCAGGTCAGCGATTAAATCGTCAGATTTGTTGCAGACGTGGACCGAAGGTTTAAGTAACGAGGTTCGTGGTGCCGTCCGACGCTGCTGCGTTGAAATTCAATATGCCATAGAGTTCATGGACACATCTACTCAAATCGTCCCCATTACGAGAGCTCGATTGATTATTTGCCGTTCTGGACATTTTAGCACGGCCGCTGCCAGCGGACCCGCTAGATACGTAATGAACCTCACCGAGGAGGTCGGCACAGCCGACCCTTCCCCGGCAGCTCCTATCGGGCGCTGCTGTCCAGCACTCTGTGGGCCCAGTGGCCCCGCGCACGGGTGCTGACGCCCCGGGTGGCTCTGCCGCTTCGGGGTGGAGAAGCGCACGGAATCTTCAATCGCATCCGAGGCGTTCAACGGATGCCACCGAGGGGGCTCGGACTCGCTGGACTGAGAGGCGTGCCCCTAGACCAGCCCCGTGCGACCCAGTGTCCACCGGCTCAGCCGCGCTGGGCAGCGACCCTGACCGTGATCAGAGGTCGCGTAGAGCTCTTACTGAGTGGAGCGAACGGGATCGGTCGCTTGCGTGGGCCGATGAGCCCGTCGATGATGTAGGCGCCCGCGCGCGCGATGGCGGCTGGGGCCGTTCGCTGGATCGTGCCCACATGGGCGCCAACGGCAACATCCAGGGATTTCGGGTTCATGTGGATCGCCATCGGCCGATAACGGGAAGCGACAAAACATGGTTTTGGTTCGTTGTGAACGAGTACAACGATGAATTCGTGGGAGGCCATGAAGATGATTCGCGGGATAAGAATGGACCCCCCGTCGACGAGCTTAGGGCAGAAAAGAAGATGTACCCGCGGGAAACCCAGTCTCCGATGATCATGTTCGTGAAGCACTGAGAGCTGCCTCTGCCTCCTCGCCCGCGCCACCGCCGCCGCCGACGCCTAAGGCGACGCTGGTTGTCTGTATAGTATACTATGACACGTTCTGTCAGTATGTGTCGTTACGTTTTGTTGTCGTGTTATGATAAGTGTGAGGAAGATGTTGCATGCAATGATATGCTGTGTGTGTGTTTTGTTTTGCTTGGCTCTGTTGTGGCACGCTGTGTGTCCGTAGTCCTCTGTCATGTCATGTTCTGCTTTGGACTGTTATTTGATGATATGCCAGGCTCCACTTAGCCATGGCATGGCTATGTTTTGTCATAGTCGGTCATGATCGTGCTATGCTCTGTCATGCTATGTTGTGTTCTGTCGTTTTCGTCGTCGTTGTGTTGTGCCATTGCGTTTTGATGTGCAGTGGGTGCTGTGCCATGCTGTGATCTGTTCTGTCAAGATGTGGTACGTTATGCTCGGGTATGTTATGTTATAATGTGTTATTTGGCGTTGTGTTTATGTTTTGCTTTGCGATGACAATGCCATGTTCTGTTCTGCCAGTGTCTGTCATGTTCCTGCTATGGTCTGTCGTGCTATGTTGTGTCATGGTGTGTTATATCGTGTTCGTTGTCGATGTGTTATGCCCGGCGTTTGTAATTTGACATGTTATGTGATGTCGTGTGGTGGGATGACATGTTATGTACGGTGTTTTATGTACTATTCGATTATGTTATATTGTGTCGTGGTATGATGTGTTCTGTTATGTAATGTTATGTTCTGGTATGTCCTGTGGTGTTCTGGCATGCTCTATTCAGTCATGATATTGGTATGTTATGTTCTGTCATGTTTTTTTTAATGCTCTGTTTCATTCTGTCATGTTCTGCTCTGTCAGCCGTGCTCGTCGATGGCGTGAGGCGGGACAACCGGGAGTCTGGGGGATCATCGGGACAAGTTGGGGTCTGGCGGCCGCGGTATGCAGGGTTGGGTTGGCCCGGGGGGTTGTTCTTCAAGTCCATAGAAATCCATCGTTCGGGTGGAGAACAGTAAGCAATCGATGCAACCAGAAACTAAAAGAACCCATGCAATCAAAAGCAAATTGGCACCGTTGCAGTGGAAAGCAGCAAGGACACGTTTTGGGTCCACAAACTTTGTGAGGGTTACCCAGGAAAAACAAAATAACAACAGCAGCACTACCAACTATGATGGTACCCCGAAAAAAAAAACGAAACAACACATGTACCGTACCTTCAGGCTGTCTGGGCGGATCTGGGCTGGAAGGGCCCAGAGGACGAAGGAAGTCGTGGACCCAAGACTCTCTTCTCTTGGGATCCAAGACGTTATGTTGTTGTGTTTGATTGGATGTGTGTACTGTTGCTTGTGATTGTATGGGTTTCGGGTTTCTTATTGTTTTTGATTGCGTTGATTTTTCAGTTTTTTTTCATACTGTGGATTCCTTCGTGTTTTTGCTTGTGTGGATCTGGACAGGAGGAGCCCAGAGGAAGTCCGAGAACGCGAGAACCATTAATTCTTGATTTCTTGTACACACATGACAGGTTTGATGTTTGTTGTTTTCTTGGGTACCCTCACAGAGGTCGTGGACCCAAGACGGTTTCCTATTGTTTTTTGTGTATGGATGTCCTCTGGTTAGCAATTGTATGGATTCCTCATTGTTGTTGAATGTATGGGTTTCTTACTGCTTTTGAGAATCCGGGTTTATTATTTCGGCTTGTATGTATTTCTTAGTGTTTCTGATGATGTGCGGAGGTCGTATTGTTTGGATTGCGTGGAGAAGATGAGCGATGAGGAGGAGAAGGATGGAGACGAACATGAACACGAGGAGGACAAGGAAACGGATGATAGTGTTGGTGATGATGATGGTGGTGTTGATGATGATATTGGTCATGATGATGATGAGGAGGAGGAGGAGGACGAGGAGGAGGAGAAAAACATAACAGGAGGAAGGGAAGGACGAGGATAAGGATGAGGATGAGGATGAGGATGAAGATGAGGATGAGAACAGCCTCACGGCACATAGTCTTAACTATCACCCGTACGGGGAGGCCTGGTTCGACCACACCTTTCCGTTTGGAGGTGGGGAGGTTCTTCCCCCAGAAAGGGAAGCCGTTGTCCGGGGAGGAGGGTTTCTCAGGGCAGGCTCAATGTTCCCCCCCCCCAGTTCCACGTGTTCAAATGTTATTCCCAAGGCAACCGTCCACGACACGTGCTCTCTCATCTCCCTACATGTAAGTATTCATGCATACAGAATTACATGTATACGTATGTGCACATGTATGTGTGTATGGATATGTGCAGGTACATGCTTAGGTGTACGTATATGTCTGTTCATGCATATGTGTTGTGCAGGTGTGTACGTATGTATGTTATATACATGTATACATGTATATATGTAGAATTGTGTGTTTGCATGCCTGCATCCCTCTCTCTCTCGATCTTCATAGTTTGTTGTTCTTGCTCTCTCCCTATATATGTATGTACACGGATATATGCGCATATGCACATATACACCAATACATATATATATATATATACAAACATACATACATATATTGGAATGGCCTCCAGCCAGTGCTGCCGATTCGGGGCGCTCCAGATGATGATGATGATGATGATGATGATGATGATGATGATGATGATGATGTTGATGATGATCATGATCATGATCATGATCATGATGATGATGATGACGATGACGATGCCGATGACGATGACGATGATGATGATGATGATGATGATGATGATGATGATGGTGATGGTGATGGTGATGGTGATGGTGATGCTGATGATGATGATGATGATGATGTGATGAGATGATGATGTTGATGATGATGATGATGATGATGATGATGATGATGATGATGATGGTGATGATGGTGATGGTGATGGTGATGGTGATGGTGATGGTGATGGTGATGGTGATGATGGTGATGGTGATGGTGTGATGGTGATGGTGATGATAATGGTCATGATAATGATGATGATGATGATGATAATGATGATGATGATGATGATGATGATGATGATGATGATGATGATGATGGTGTCCTCTCTCCTGTTCTCCCCCCTCTCCCTCCTGTTCCCCCCCCTCTCTCCTTTCCCCCCCCCATCCCCCTCTCTCCTGTCCCCCCCCCTCTCTCCTGTCCCCCCCCCTCTCTCCTGTCCACCTCCCCCCCTTCCCCCCCCCCCCCCCCTCTCTCCTGTCCCCCCCCCCTCTCTCTCTCCCCCCCCCTCTCTCCTTCCCCCCCCCCCCTCTCTCCTGTCCCCCCCCCCCTCTCCTTTCCCCCCCCCTCTCTCCCTGTCCCCCCCCCCTCTCCTGTCCCCCCCCCCTCCCCCCCTTCCTCTCTCCTGTCCCCCCCTCTCCTTCTGTCCCCTTCCCCTTCCCCTGCAATCTCCTTTCCGCTCCCCCCCCCTGCACTGCGTTCTGGACAGGAGAGAGGAATGGGGGGGTGGGGAGCTGGGGGACAGAGAAGGTGCAGAGGCCTGGGGGGGGTGCAGGAAGAGGGGGGGTGGGTGGGCGGAGAGGGGATTGCATGGGAAGGGGGGGGGTGCAGGAAGAGAGGGGGGGGGGGGGGGCGCTGGAGAGGAAGGTGCAGGGAGGGGGGGGCGGTCCCGGCATTGGGGAGGCCTTGCGTGTCAATTCTTTCGTCGTTTGCGTCCCTGCCCTCTTGCAGAGCGAAGCTTGAGCGAGCTCAAGCCCACGCTCTCAGAAACTCACACGCCGGATCGGCGGATATGTTTTTTTTTTGTTCTCTCTCTCTCTCTCTCTCCCTCTATCTTTACCTCTCTCCTACTTCCTGGGGTCAGGAGCAGGGATGCAGCGGACCCCGCGGGACTCTCCGCGCGCTTGCGGAGCGCCCCAGCCAGTCGAGATCCGATTCGCAAAGTCGAATCCCGCAGGTCTGGACCACCTCCCTGGGGCCATCTTCTCAACCCGAGCCGGTCCTGGGGCCCAGAAAGGGCCCCATAGCCGAAAACGGCCCCAGATGCTCGTCGTGATTCTGTTCATGATTCAAGAGGCCCAGGCCAGGAGCAATGATGCAGCCGGGGGCGGCCAAGGGGTGGGTGATCACCACGGTGGGGTGGATAGTATGGCGGTGGCCACTCGACCTCCGCGGAGCTCATGGACCCTCTTTCTCGATTCGATTCCTCGTCCGCGCACATGCGTCGGGCCATGATTCGCGCATCCACCCCCTCCCCCTCGTCCTCCTCCTCCTCCTCCTCCTTGACATCAGTATTGGCCCCCTCCTTCTCCGCCTCCTTCTGCTCTTCCTCCTCCTCCACCTTTGCAGCGCCCCCGCTGCCGGGACCTCCCTCGGCGCCCGTCGGCCCCCGAAAGCCCCCCCGCCAAGGCGGCCGCGACCACGCCGCCGCAGCTCGCGGAGGCGGGCATCACCGTGCAGCAGGTGGCACAGAGGTTCATTCCGCCGCTGCTGGAGGGGTCCTCCTCCTCCTCCTCCTGAGGGATCTGGGGTCCTCTTCTTCCTCCGCACCCCCATTTCGTGGCCGGTGGGGTTTCGTATCTCAGCAGCCTCTTCCCCCCTCACATTCTCGAGCCGTGCTGCCTCCTCGACTTAAAAAATGCAGTAATATTTTTTGGCGGGCCCAAATCGCGCTATCTAGTCATTGGGGGACATACGACGCAGACCAACGGCAGTTCTTGCAAAGTTCGGACAGGGTTCGCTGTCGCTGCCGCCGCGGACGGTGCCCACTTGAGGCGCTGCCCAACAGCGGTCGCCGTCGATGTCGGACCACATTTACTGTTGGGCATCGTTCCAATTTCTGTTCCCGTATAGACTACGTGCGCGCCAACCCATCGACGACCACGACGACCGCCACGACCACAGCCACGATGACGACGGCGACGACGACGTTGACGACGACGGCGACGACGACGACGGTGATGACGCCGACCACGCCGACAACGCCGACCACGACGACGACGACGGAAACGATGAAGGCGACGACGACCGCGACTCGGCGGCGGCGGCGGAGGCGCCTCGCAACGTGCGGAGGGGGGCAGGAACCCGTATTGGCCGACTACAAGAGCAACATGCCGCAGGCGCGCATCCGCTTGGGCCGCCGCCGTCGTCGGCGTCGGCGTCGTCGTCGTGGTCGTGGTCATGGTTCGTGGTCCTCGCGCGGGTCGAGGACGCGGGTCGAGGACCGCAGCCCGACCCCGAGGGCGGCCCGCTCGTGGGGCCTCGGGCGCGACGGGTCCCCCGTGAAGTCAGTGAAGTCCGTTCCCTCATTGGCGGCGGCGACGACGACGCCGACAGCGACGGCGACGACGACACGCTTCTCGCGCGGGAGGAGGACAAGGACGAGGAGGAACGGGAGGGAGATCCAGGCAGCGACGAGGGTCGCCGCTGGACCACTCTGGACGGGTTCCGTTTCTCGTTTAGCGATCTTCACGGCAGGACGATTGTTGTACGGGTCGGGATGGTTCCAACAATCTCCGCTGGCTCCAACGTCTTGCGCAGGGTTTCTTGTGACGGCGCTGGGCCCCCCCCTCGTCTCCTCCGTCGCCGCCACTGCATCGCACCGCCAGCGCCGACCCAAGAAATCCGCGAGGACCTCCGAGAGTGTAAGGCTTATGGAATTGATTGCTCTTATCAGGTCGGCGCCCTCCGCCTCCGTTCCGCTCCACACCTCCTGGGCCGCACACGCGACGGCCCGAGCGGGAAGGGAGCAGCGGGGAGGATGGGTAGATTTCATTAAGGGGCCGCGCTGATGCAAAAGCAGAGCGGGGGAGGAGGAGGAGGACGACGACGACGACGACGGACGACGAACGACGAACGACGGACGACGGACGACGGATGACGGACGACGGATGACGAACGACGGGCGATGAACGACGAACGACGAACGACGGACGACGGACGACGGACGACGGACGACGGACGACGGACGACGGACGACGGACGACGACCACGACGACGACGACGACGACGACCACGACGACGACGACGACGACGACGACGACGACGACGACGGCGGCGGCGGCGGCGGCGGCGACGACGACGACGACGACGACGACGACCGACGAACGGCGGACAACGGACGACGACGACGACGCCGACGAAGGCGACGACCGAGGTCCGACGACGACGACCGAGGACCGACGACCGAGAACAACCGTCGACGACGAGACCGACGACGACGACGACTGACGACGAACGAACGACGGCGAAACCGGCGACGAAGAGGAGAAGGAAGATGCATGGAACGATTCGTTGAACATCGGCATTGTGGGCCCACTCGCTCCCCGTCCTCACCCTCGGCCTCCGCCTCCTCCCCGTCCTCTTTGATCGTGGCCCCTCTCTCTCTCTTCCTCCTCGCCCTCTTCCTTCTCATTCTCATCGTCCTCCTCATTCTCGTCCTCTTCCTCATTCTCCTGCTCGTCCTCCGCATCCACCTTCCCTGCTGCTCTCCCTCGCCCTCCTCGTCCTCCCCCGCGTTGGGGGCCGAGGCACCAGGCAAGCTCCGCCGCGCCGCCGCTGCGGCCAGGGCAGGGCGAGAACCCCGTCGTCCGCCCACCGCCCCACCGCGCCCTCCTGCTCGTCGCCCTGCTCGTCGTCTTCCTCTTCGTGCTCCTCGCTGTCGAGTCTCCCGGATGCGGAGGCTGCGAGATTGCATGGCTCTGGCTCCCCGAACTGCTGCTGCAGAGTTCCCCAGTGACCTAAGCGGGTCAGCGCCAGAGCTTCTTGTGAAGATCGGCATTGCGCCTTGGACGAGGGGGGCACCTGCCCCATATGATCAGACTCAGTCTCAGCCTCCTCGCTGTCGTCGTCGTCGTCGTCGTCGTCGTGTTCGTCGTCGTCGTCGTCGTCGTCGTCGTCGTCGTCGTCCGCCTTCCCCTGTCCCTCCTCCGTCCCTTCTCCCGAACCTGCCCGACCCTCCTGTTCATTACTCCCCCGTCCCGCGCCCTCCCCCCGCCCTTGTTCCTCCTCCCCGCAGGGGCAGGGTGACGTGTCCGAGAGGGCCGTACGCGGACGTCCGAGGCATGCGTTGGCACAGCATGCTGTCCCCACGGCCAGTCATCAGGGATCCACGCTCGATCCAAACAGTCGACACCGGCGAGAAATATTGGCAGTGTTCCCAGGGGGACCTTTTGCATCCTTGCCTCCTCGGCCCATCCACCGGCCATTGCGATGGCCAGCCCCGCGCGAAGATCCCCGGCATGGGCGTACAAGGCGTTTGCAGCTTCATTGCGCGATACGCGCAGTCGAAACCGATGGTAAAGAAGGGTTACTTTCCCAAGCGTACCCTGTGCATCCTTGCCTCCTCGGCCCATCCTCCGCGCTCCTGCTGCTGCCCCCCACTCTGGGCGCCAGGTGCTGCAGGCTCTGTAGGACAAACCAGTGGCCACCGAGGCCAGGATGGTGTTACAGATCCCCGCTTTGGCCCCTCCGTGGGGGTCGGGGCGTTGGCACGGGAACGGGTAAAATGTCGAGCGCCTGTATCCCCCCTTCCGTCTTCACCCGCCACTCCTCGATCCTCGCACCTCGCCATTCCTCGATCCTCGATCGAGCGAGCCCTCCCTCGCGCCTCCTCGATCTTCGCACCCCCTCCTCCTCCTCCTCCTCCTCCTCCTCCTCCTCCTCCATCTCCTCGATCCTCGGTCGAACAGGCCCTCCCTCCCCCGTCACCGCCCCTGCCGCCTCGTCGTTCTGCCGGGCCGCCCCCCCCCTCCCCGAGCGGCGGCGGCGAGGCACGGGACGCGGAGGTGCTGGACCTCCTGGCCACGCTGGCCACGAGCCTCAGCGGCTTCATCTCGCAGGAGGCCGCCTCGCAGAGGGGCGCGCCGCAGGGAGGGCCCCGCGCCTGGCGCGCCCCGGCCCTCGGCGGAGGCCCGCCGGCGGGAGGCCGAGCGCTGGGCAGCACGGCGGCGGACCCGCCGGCGGAAGGCGGCGGAGGCAGTGGCGCAGACGCGCCAACGGCGATGCAGATCCTCATCGGGGGCCCGTGCCAAGAACCAAGGGAGGAAAAACCACCCAGACCGGACAGCTGGTGTTTGTAATCGGCCCTGGGCGTTTACTAAACAGCCCTGCCCTGTTTGATTCCTTACTCGGGTGCGTTTGCTAAACGGCTTCCTGGCGTTGCCATGGGGGGGGGGGCCATGCCACTAGCAGTGGCGAAGCGTCCTGGCGTGCCTATAGTCCCACCAAGCAATGTTCTAAGAGCCTTTTTGTGGTCTCCACGAAATGTTCGTAGAACGTGTATGGCTGGGACCTTCGTGTTTTCACACACCGGGTTTATGTTCTAAAAACTTGCTTTTTTATTCGAACAGTTCTGGGTTCTAAGAACATGTCGTGGTAGGCCTATAGGACTGCCAAGACGGTCGGTCCCTGCTCAAGCCAACGGCGATGTAGATCTTCATCGGCGGCCCAAGCCAAGAAACGCCTTGCTGGCCTCCAGGGTGCCCTGGGTTTCTGGTGTTTCAGTGGTTTTGCCATGGAGAGCGCGACTCTCCCACAGCAAAAATCGGTGGACGTCCTGGGGTCTCAGGGTTGGGTTTCTTGTGGAAGATCTCTTGAGGACGGGCCCCCACTGCATTCATCGGTGAGGATCAGAGGAGGAAAAGGTACCCATACACCTACCCTTCGCCCGATTTCCCCTTGTTCGCCCTGGGCGGCCCTCGTCGCCACCGCTGGATTCGCCTCGAAGTTTTGGTCAGAACGCACCCCGGGAGAGGTCCGGGGAGTAGCGGTATCGGTACCTTTTGATCTCTCCAGCCTGGCCGAGAGAACACGTCCCAGCGAGCGAAGAGGGTGGGAGAGGAACAAGTAGCACAGACAGGAACTTCTGAAGCTCCACGCCAGTTCCGAGGCATCGAGCATGAGAGAGTCGGGTGTTCTGACGGTTTGCGTTTTTTTGGCGGGGTGGTCCTTTCGGCATTATTGTCCGGGTACACCCCCAGCGAGCAGAGAGGTGTGTGTCGCGATCTTCGAGGGGAGGAGGCGGATCATAGCAGAACAGACTTGTGGCTACTTGAAAGAATCGCGCCGGAGGCTCCGTCGCAGTTTACGACGTCTGGGGGCCGTTCCTGGCAACCCGTGAGCATAAGAAAGTGCTCAGGATGAGAAACGGGCTAGAAAGGAATATCAAGTACGGTCGGACCGAAGTATAAGATCGAGGTCGGTTTGGGAAGCGTGCCCTCGAGTGATGGTTTGGGGTGTGTTGGCTGGCGGAGGTTTTCCCGCTCTTGAAGGATATGTTTCAGTCCTAGGTCCGACCTTCTTTTTGCCTTCTGTTGCCTTCCTGCGGGGCCTCTTGGAGCCTTATTGCGGCGTCCTGGGGGCCTCTCCTCTCCGGCCGCCTACAGGCAATCCTGGGCATTTGCGGGCGTTCCTTGGCCGTCTTGGGACCCTCTTGGGCCGTCTTCGGGGCCTTTGAGGACGCTCTTGGGCTGACTTTGCGCTTTCTGGCCTCTGTAGGAGTTGCCCTGAGAGCGCCCAGAAATCGGGGCCGTCGGCCCCATGAAGTGGACTACAGGAGACCCGAGGACCCCCCGTGACGTGCAAAGGCACGCCAGCGGATCCTGAGATCATGGCTTGCCTGGTGGCAGAAGTCGCATTCTAGTTACGGCCGAGTTGGAGGGGAGCGGGCACGGCGATATAGTCTGGTCAGGGAGATCTGCCTCGGTTGGTGGTTGTAGAGCGATGGGCCGCAGTTTCATAATGCTTTGCAGCCCGCCGCGCTGGGACAAAGTAAGAACAGCTCGATTTCGGACGCGTTGAAATTATGAGCCTCTGGGGTGCGCGAGTTTGTATGATTGATGGCCAGTGCAGCACGAGAAACCTCGGTGGCAGACATGCCCGCGTGGCCGTGGCATCAGTAGCGAACACGGGCTCGCATCGAGCAGGCAGCGCGTCGGCCACGTGGGGTAGCCTCCAAGGTTAGCATCGCCTTGCACGATGAGCGTTGTCTCGGAGGCCGCACGGGGCGCAGGCAGTGGTTGTGGCAACGTCGGCTTGTCTGGTGTTGTACCGCACCAGCCCCAGGCGCTCAGCACATGACCCACTCATGCCAGCAACACAGAATCAGGAAACAACTAACGGTTGGCAAACAGCGACATACCGTCAGAACTCCAGATGCCCCAAAGAAGCGCACTGCAAACGGACCTTGCCGGAATAGGACGGCGGAGGGAAGGAAGAGGGAGGATGGAGCAGGGAGCAGGGAGGCGGGAGAGAAGAGGAGGAAGCAGGAGGAAGGAGTGACGCCAGAGTTTCCCCCTTTGGAGGTCCCCAAGATCTTCGAGATGGCGCGCCGCCAGCTGCGAGCTGTTGCTGGGAGCTGTTGCTGCAGCTGTTGCTGCGGCTCCTGCTGCGGTTGTTGCTGTGACTTCGATTGTTGATGCTGCTTGCCTGCGTCCCACTCCCCACCCCTTCCTCTCCCTACCCACGAGGAGGGAGGGAGGTAGAAGAAGGAGGACACTCAGGTTCTACCGAGTTCAGCGGAGATCTGGGGGAGGGGGGAGAGGGGGGAGGGTTTTCAAGGGTTCAGTAGTGCAGTAGGTCCTGATGTGTGGGGTTATGTTTACCCTCGCCCCTTTTCCATCCCCCCCTCCATCCGCGTCCCTCCCCGTTCATTCCCCTCCTCGCCTCCCCCCAACAGCTCTTTTCCTCCCCTCCCTGCTTGTCCCCCCTGCCCTCTCTTCGTTCGTCCCTGCCCTTCCCCCACCTTCTCCTCTTGCTTGGCTTGAGTGTTCGCCATCATCCACCGCGTCCTCCTCGTCTTTGTTATCCGGCTCGGGACGTGCGTCTGGCCATTCGGAGTGATGATCGACATTCCCCTTCTCCCTCCTCCCTTCTCAGAAGGAGGTACGTACGTGTGCGCGTGCTCCCCCGTGCTGGTTCCTTCGTTGCACCGCCGCCCTCTGGTGGCCAGGTTTTCGAATGCACTTGCGACATGATCAAGGCGCCAGGGTGTGGGAAGCAAGGAGGGGATCCAGCTCTGCAGCGACGACGACGACGACGACGACCTCCAGAAGTTCTGTTGCGGTTTTAGGCCGTTTGGGGGGCCTTTGGAGATCTGGAGACCACCAGGGACCTGAGGTAGAGTGAGGAGGAGGGGGAAGGGACGGAGGGAGGAGGAGGGGAGGGCGGCAGAAACGGAGGAGAAGGGCAGGGGAAGAGAGGAGGGGGGAGGGCGGTGAGGTGCAAGGGGTGGGGAAAGGCGGGGGAAGAGTTGGCGAAAGAGGAAAAACAGGAGCAGCAGCAGGAGGAGGAGGAGGAGGAGGAGGATCTGCACCCACTGCGGCACGCGCGGCCTCTCGGCGCGGGCCGTGCGTACGCCTCCCAGCGCTGGCCTCCCACGCCCCGCGCGGCGGGCCCGCGAGAGCCGCAGGGTCTGCGGCGCGGGATGGGGCCCGGTCCGTTGTGGCGCTCCGACTGCGCGGCCCTGCCCATTGGCCGTTGGGCGTGTGCACAATACTCGAGAGGTCGGAAATGAGGTCGGAGGGTTTCTGCGGGGGGCTTAGGCGACCCAGCGCTCCTCCTGCTCTCTCCTCCTGCTCTCTCCTCCTGCTCCTCCTCCTTCTCCTCCTCCTCCTCCTCCTCCTCCCCCCCGTGCCGAAGGTGTGCACGGCCCCAGTCTGGAGCAATCGGGGAGGACGCACGGGGCGCCTGTAAGGAGATTCGTGATCTCCGAAGAGCACCTCCCTTGAGCTCACTGGGGTTTCGCCACCGTGGCGACACAGGCCAGTAGGTTGTTGCAGGGGCAGTGGCCCCTCATGCGTCGACCACGCATGTGGGCGAGGGGCATTGCCCCCAACCGTTGGCATGCTCATACGTCACTTCATGCACATGCTTTGGTGCACATGCTTATGGGGAGGGTGACCCCCTCACGCAGGGGCGTCCCTCATGCGTTGATGTTGATGTTGTCATTCGCATGCTTATGGGGGGGTGACCCCCTCACGCAGGGGCGTCCCTCATGCGTTGATGTTGTCACGCACATGCTTATGGGGAGGGTGACCCCCTCACGCAGGGGCGTCCCTCATGCGTTGAGGTTGTCATGCACATGCTTTTGGGGAGGGTGACCCCCTCACGCAGGGGCGTCCCTCATGCGTTGATGTTGTCATGCGCATGCTTATGGGGAGGGTGACCCCCTCACGTAGGGGCGCCCCTCATGCGGTGACGTTGCCATGCACATGCTTATTGGGACCCCCTCGCGCAGGGGCGTCCCTCATGCGTTGATGTTATCATTCAAATGCTTATGGGGAGGGTGACCCCCTCACGCAGGGGCGCCCCTCATGCGTTGATGTTGTCGTGCACATGCTTATGCGGAGGGTGGCCCCCTCACGCAGGGGCGTCCCTCATGTGTTGATGTCGTCATGCGCATGCTTATGGGGAGGGTGACCCCCTCACGCAGGGGCGTCCCTCATGCATCGATGTTGTCATGCGCAATCTTATGGGGAGGGTGGCCCCCTCACGCAGGGGCGCCCCTCGCCGTTGATGTCGTCATGCGCATGCTTATGGGGAGGGTGACCTCCTCACGCAGGGGCGTCCCTCATGCGATGATGTTGTCATGCACATGCTTATGGGGAGGGTGGCCCCCCCACGCAGGGGCGCCCCTCATGCGTTGATGTTGTCATTCAAATGCTTATGGGGAGGGTGACCCCCTCACGCAGGGGCGCCCCTCATGCGTTGATGTCGTCATGCACGTGCTTATGGGGAGGGTGACCCCCTCGCGCAGTGGCGTCCCTCATGCGTTGATGTTGCCATGCGCCTGCTTATCGGGAGGGTGACCCCCTCACGCAGGGGCGCCCCTCATGCGTTGATGTTGCCATTCAGATGCTTATGGGGAGGGTGACCCCTCACGCAAGGGCGTCCCTCATGCGCCGGCGTTGTCTGCGCATGCTTATGGGGAGGGTGACCCCCTCACGCAGGGGCGTCCCTCATGCGTTGGTGTTGTCATGCGCATGCTTTTGGGGAGGGTGACCACCTCACGCAGGGGCGCCCCTCATGCGTTGATGATGTCATGCGCGTGCTTATGGAGGGGGTGACCCCCTCACGCAGGGGCGCCCCTCATGCGCTGGTGTTGTCATGCACATGCTTATGGGGAGGGTGACCCCCTCACGCAGGGGCGTCCCTCATGCGCTGATGTTGTCATGCACGCGCTTATGGGGGGGTGACCCCCGCACGCAGGGGGCGCCCCTCATGCGTTGATGTTGTCTGCGCATGCTTATGGGGAGGGTGACCCCCTCACGCAGGGGCGCCCCTCATGCGTTGGTGTCGTCATGCGCATGCTTTTGGGGGGGTGGCCCTCTCACGCAGGGGCGCCCCTCATGCGTTGATGTTGCCATTCAGATGCTTATGGGGGGGTGGCCCCCTCACGCAGGGGCGCCCCTCGTGCGTTGATGGCGTCATGCGCATGCTTATGGGGAGGGTGACCCCCTCACGCAGGGGCGCCCCTCATGCGTTGATGTTGTCTGCGCTTGCTTATGGGGGGGTGACCCCCTCACGCAGGGGCGCCCCTCATGCGTTGATGTTGTCATGCGCGTGCTTATCGGGAGGGTGACCCCCTCACGCAGGGGCGCCCCTCATGCGTTGATGTGGTCATGCGCATGCTTATGGGGAGGGTGACCCCCTCACGCAGGGGCGCCCCTCATGCGTTGATGTGGTCTGCGCGTGCTTATGGGGAGGGTGACCCCCGCGCGCAGGGGCGCCCCTCATGCGTTGATGTTGTCATGCTCGTGCTTTTGGGGAGGGTGACCCCCTCACGCAGGGGCGCCCCTCATGCGTTGATGTTGTCATGCGCATGCTTATGGGGGGGTGACGCCCTCACGCAGGGGCGTCCCTCATGCGTTGATGTTGTCATGCTCATGCTTATGGTGAGGGTGACCCCCTCACGCAAGGGCGTCCCTCATGCGTTGATGTGGTCATGCGCATGCTTATGGTGAGGGTGACCCCCTCATGCAGGGGCGCCCCTCATGCGTTGATGTGGTCATGCACATGCTTATGGGGAGGGTGGCCCCCCCACGCAGTGGCGTCCCTCATGCGTTGTTGCGGTCATGCACATGCTTATGGGGAGGGTGACCCCCTCACGCAGGGTCGTCCCTCATGCTTGATGTTGTCATGCGCATGATTATGGGGAGGGTGACCCGCCCGACCACGGAGGAGGAGGAGCAGCACCAGCACCTACAGCGGCGTCCTCGGAGCTCGTGGCGCACCAGCAGGCGCTGGCAGTCACCACGGACCCAGGGATGCGCACGCTGCTCGAGGCCCAGATCTGCAAGCGCCAGCAGGCCGCGGCGGCGGAGTCCACGGTCAGCCCAGAGGTGTCCTTGCAGAAGGCGTCGGCGGCGGTGCGGGACGCTGGGGTCAAGCACGACCAGGCAGTGGCAGCGCTCATCAAGGCCGAGGCCGTCTTCAGCAGGCAGCAAGGGCAGCGAGGTAGTTTCGGATGGATCATTCCGTGATAGCGCATGCTCATTCTCATTCTCATTCTCTTCCTCCTCCTCCTCCTTTTCCTCCTCCTCCTCCTCCTCGGGTCGCCTACGGCCCTGGGGGAGACAGTCCGAAAGGGGTGTGGCGTCGTGGGTGCTCATCGGTGAGTATCAGAGGAGGAAAGGGTACCCATACCGCAACCCTTCGCCTGAACTCCCTTTTTTTCCACCTCCTGGGGAGCCCCCACGTCGCCACCGTTGGATTCGCTTCGAAATTCTGGTCAGAACGAACCCCGGGAAAGGTCCGTGGAACAGCGAATCTGCATTTTTTGATTGATTCCTCTCGCTTCGCGGGGTGCACGTCCGGAGCACGTACAGTCACGTCGTCGCGGGGCCTCTTGGGAGCCTCCTGGGGGCCTCCTGGAGGCCTCTTGGGAGCTTCTTTGGGCCCCTTGGGGGCTTCTTTGGGGCCTCTCCCCCCCCCCTCCTTTTCATACTCCTCCCCATCTTCCCTTCCAGCGCCGGCTCTAATCATGCGCGCCGCCGTGACCAACTTCCACCTGGCTGGCGCTGCGCCGTCGTTCGCCCAGGGGGGGAAATAACGTTACGCTCCAGTCGTTGTGTGGCCTTGTGGGGGCTTCGTTGGGGCCTCTTAGAGGCTTCTTGGGGATTTCTTGGAGGCCTGTGTTTTTTTTTGGAGTTCCTTGGGGGCCTCTTGGGGGCCTCTCGGGGCCTCTTGGGGGCAACTTGGGCCGTCTTGGGGCGTTTTTGCGCCGTTCCGCCCCTTCGGGGGCGTTCTTGGGGGCCTCTCGCGGCCGCCTTGCGGTTCTCTTGGGGTCCTTTTGGGCCGTCTCAGGGTTTTTTTTGGACCGCCTTGGGGGCTTATTTGGGCCGTCTTGGGGCCCTCCTGGGCCGTTTGGGGCCCTCTTTGGAGCCTCTGGGGGCCTCTTGGGGACGTCTTGGAGCCGTCTTTGGGCGCTATTACGCCGTCTGGCCGCTTCGGAGGCCACTTTGGAAGCTTCTCGCGGCCGCCTTGGGGCTCTCTTGGGGTCCTTTTGGGGCCGTCTTGGGGGCTTCTTGGGCCGTCTTGGAGGCTTCTTTGGCCGTCTCGGGGCCCCTTGGGCCGTCTTGGGGCCCCCTCGGAGGCCTCTTGGGCCGTTTGTGGGCCTTCTTGGAGGCTGTTTGGGCTGTCGTGGCCTTTTGAGAGCCGAAAAAGGCGAGAACGTTGAACTTGCCCCAAAACTATAGGACAATCAAAGATTTTGGCGTCCGGAGGCGCTCTCGGGAGTCTTCTTGGGGGCCTCTTGGACTTTTTTGGGCACCTCATGGGCCTTCTTGGGGCCATCTTGGGCCGTCTTGAGGCCGGCTTGGGTTATTTTTGGGCCATATTGGGCCGTCTTGAAACCTTCTTGGGGCCCCAAGAGGCCCAAGAGGCCGCATGTGCTGATTTCTTCTAGGTTTTTGTAGGTTTTTGGGCCCCAGACGGGCCCTCCACCTTGGGGTCGACGGAAGTGGCGCGACTCCGGGGGGG